GGGGTTAAGCGTAGGGGCTAAACGCAGGTGCTGGCAGGTTGCCGGGGCTGATCCCGCTAATGCTGCATTTTTGGGGACACTATACTAATGTGAACGCTGGCATATTTCTGATCTGATCAAAGATATTGATCCGCTCAGACACTATACTAGCAATGGAGGTTTATTGTGTATGAGCGTGTTCCTGCAATCAAGGGGTTAAATGTGATGACTGACTGGTGTAGTGACGGGCAATCTGACGCTATCTGGGAGGGATGCTAACTGACACTAATGCTATCTGAAGTCGCTGGTGACACTAATACAGTGATCAGCAAAAAATCTGTACACTGTACTAATGACACTGGTGACAGGGCAGCGAAGGGGTTAACTGGGGGGTGATCAGGGGGTTAAATGTGTCCTAAATGTGATTTTACTGTGTGTGTAGTGCTTTTACTCACATGGATCTGCTTTCTTCTCTCTCTGGGACGGAATGCGCTCAGAGAGAGAAGATGTCATCATTTCCTGTACCTGTGTAATGGAAACACATCTACAGGAAGATCTCTGATAGGGCAGGGATCGATCATCAGATCCGAACATCACTGGCCTGAACATGATGATTGATCGGTCAGGAACTGAATCACGGCAACGGCAGGTTGGTGTGTGCACATGTGCCCCCCTGGCAACTGCGGGAGCGCACAACATCACATATATATACACATGATTTTGTGCAGGGAGTCCGCCCTGTAGCAGTATTTCTATTATAGGGGGACTTAAAGTGGTTAAGGAAAGTGCGGCGCTGTATTTCTATTTATTGACATTTTTGCACATTTATATGAGTATGTTTCAGGTGTGGGCAGCATTTTTTAGTTGAATTCACTGTTAAGTTGGTTTATTGATTATTGATCACCTTTTTTAGCTGCTTGTGGGAATACTTTGTATTATTTGTGCTCCTCTTCACTAGTGTACCTTTCCAGTTCCTGTGTTTATAAATATGGACACAGAATGATCTCTGATTCTGTACAGGTGATCAGCAGGTCCAGGTGATCAGCAGGTCCAGGCCAGAAATCATTGGCCTGGACCTGATAATCGGCTTGTGATGTACTGAATGACAGCACAGTCAGGGCGGTGGGCTCACACGTGTACATGTACTGTATGTGATCTGGAACAGAGGGACTGCCCTGCCGCAGTATAAGTGTGGTGGTCGGTCCTGAACTGGGTAAAGTCAGATTGTTTGCCGATGATCTTTTACTTACTTTGGTCCAACCCAACACCTCCCTGCCAGTCCTATTCTCTGTACTCCATACATTTCCCTTTCCTCTGTAAAACAGAATGATAGTTTCCTTGGCCCACCTCCTACCTGGATTATTTGGGCATTCATCTCCCTCGCTCGTACAACACACTCCATGAGGCCAACTACATCCCCACTTTCAAATACTTGAGAGTCCTACTTCTGTCCTGGACTCATCTTCACCTCTCCTGGATAGGGAGGATCAGTGATGGAAAATTGGCAATTTTACCAAAACTCCTTTACTTGTCCTGTACTCTTCCCCATCCCCACCCCCCCCACCGATCCCCATCTCCTCCTATACTCTGAAATCTTTTTTAAAATCAGGTCTTGTGATTCAACTGAGCAGACAAAGGGCCACGAATCCCAAGACATGCTATGTATATACATAAGGAACAAGGAGGTTTGGGTGTTCCAAATGTTACTAAATATTTCTTGGTGCCCAGATTACCCCACTAACCCCCCTTTACACCACAATACATGGCTCCTTATGGGCTGACTTAGAAGCATTGCTCTGTTCTCAAACTTCTCACCATTCACTCCCATGGAGTCCTCCTAAATCCAGACCTACGTCTATCAGCCTGGCTGCCTCTGAATTAAACACTGGTAGACTACCATAATTACTAACACAGATCTTTGGACTCAACTCTCCTTGTATGAACATATCTGCCAACGCACTCTCTTGCCCCCCCAAACTTATCTCAATGATCTTATTCACAACTGAACAATCTTAGAAGTCCTTGATTCCTTGGCCCCCCAGGCCTCCTGTTATTTGGGCATTGAATATGAGTTAACCTTGGACCTGCATTGTAGGGAGTAGTGCAGGCTTACAGGAACTAGTAGTGATGTTTGGTCTACTCTGCCCTTCATACACTGGGCCCACAAATGATGGCTTGGCTTACCCCAGTACTACAGCTGTACCACCCCATTGTCCCCCTCTTGTGAACATCATTGGTGGGGTTAGGGTATGTTCAGGTCTACACTTATAAATCCTCACTGTAAAAGGTTGGAGAGAATTTTTTCTGTGTTTTTGAAGGAAAATAGTGCTGTTATTTTTGAGAACACGTCACCCTTTTGTTTATTTGATGGTTGTATTCTGATTATGAGACTAATGTGCCCGGCTTTCTACATGTTGTAACTATTGGATTATTTACACCTGCTACTGGAAAATATAATAAAAACCATTAGAAAAGAAAAGTCCTAGAGGCCACGCCTATGTCCATGGGGGAACATGACCTTAAAGGCACTAGGGACATTTCTTTGGACTGGATACAGGTTTTGGTCCAGGAATATTTAAACCCCCTACACCACTATACATGGCTCTTACTCTGATTTGGGCTATAAATCTGTTCTCAAACTTCTCACCATGTCCCAACCCGTTGGCGTCCATCTTTCCAGCCCTATCTCTTCCATCAGCCTCTTTGATGGGTTCCACACTCCAGGGGACATATAAATATTCATATATTGTGGTTCCCCTCATGCTCCATTTGTCTGGATTTTGTACAAAGGTCCTAAAACAGTTACAAAATGTTTAATATTTTGCCACTTTCCCAGGAATCCTTGGTACATCTTATGGCATTTGGCCTCACCAGTTACCCAATTTGAATGCCCCCCCCCCCAGTGGGACCGCACTTGGTCACGAGTTCCCAATTTAAGTTGGCTATAAATGTTCTACTAGCGGCAAAATAAAGGCTTAGAGACAAGAGCTTGGCCCCCTCGTGGAAGTCCATCTTAGTATAGATGGTGTCGTTAAGAAAGTAACCTATTAAGAATTTCTTAAGAAACCTGGGCCCCCCGTGTATACATTACACTCACCCCCCCCATGTCCCCCTGACACCTACACACTGCTATAGGCATTGAGGCCCCAGGTTTCTGGTAAGGGGGTCCCCGATGTCCTCCCTCTGTTCTCCTTTTGTCTTACCACCTTGTTCTATTTCCTTCCCTCTTCCTTTTCTCTCGGCCCCCTGACCTGGGAGGCCTTGGTTACTGGGTATCTTGCCTATCCTCTGTGCAGGACCCGACTCTCACACCCAAGTCCAAGAGTGTCTCCCAAATTATGGCTAACTCAAGATTTCCCCTCCCCCTCATTTTATTCTCTTCTCCTTCCCTAATTATCCTCTTGTTTGCCATTCTTACAATGTGTATGGTTACTGTAAACCCGATCTTGTAACACGCCGCGCTCATTGATCTTTATATCCATCACTTGTATTCTCTTGTATGATTTACGGATGCACGCTGGAATTGTTTTCATGGGTTGGTTACTTCTGAACATTTGTACGAGTTGCACAATGTATCCTACAAAACTTAATAATATAAAAACTTATTGCAAGTGAAAGTTAGTTGGACAAATGTGAGGAGCATTTCCCCCGCCGAGATACATTGTGGCCATCATTTATTTTACACAATGATTTCCTATGATGGTCAGCTCCATCTAGTGGCTTCAATGCAGTATTTTCCTGAAATCCCTCTGTGATATGGGGGGTTTGTTAGCTCCTGTGGTAGATGTTTGTAAGTGAGTCCACGTCAGTCAAGACTTGCGGTTTATCGGCACGGCAGCCCACTTTTATTAAGAAGGAAAATGAAAGTCTTTACACCATAAGGTTTCCCACGCAGGGGATTGTCCAGCTTTGTCAATACATCAGATCACTGAAAATGCTAGCTCACCTGGCTACACTTCAGCAGCACCACTGATCTTACACTGGTCCCCCAGACTAGGACTTCTTCAGGATTACTCAGCCTTGGTTACAGCACCTCACTACACAGGTCCACTCCTGGCCTCTACATCGGGTTCCCCACCCCCCCCCTCAAGCTTGATCACTCCTCCATTGACTTCTGGACTCCCTCCACCCCCCTGGACTCCCTCCACCCCCCTGGACTCCCTCCAGCCCCCTGGACTCACAAGCCACTTCAGGTCCCCCAGAGTCTTGGAGCTGTCCTGACTTTCCCAGTCCTTGGGCAAGGAATCCCACCTCACAAGGGATGCAGTCTCCAGCAGGAACCCCCAGCTCTCCTGACAGGGTCCTGTCTCCAAATGGCAGAAGACCTGGCCTATAATGATCCTGCCCACCTATGTACTCACACAGGCTGCAGGCATCTAGCAAAGCCTGGACATGGGACTGAAGGTCTTGTCCCCACCAAGAATCTCTGGAACCTTCAAGCTCCAGGTCCCGACCCGGAACTACCTAAATCCATTGACAACCTAGAACACAGTTTTCTCTGCTCACAAAATACATGTTGGAGCTTCTCAAACAGCAGCCAGGAGGACCCTGTGTCATTGTCACAGTGGCAGGACCTCACACTTCCACACCTCCATCAGACCTCCAAGTGTTTGTGAGAGCTTCTGCTAGAACATTGACTCCATTTTTATTCTTCTCCTGCCATCAATGGCCGACCCAGTCCCACAATACTGTCATCCATGTCTTTGGGGACCTCTGGATCTCCTTATCAAACTGTTACTTCTTCCATGATGAAGATCAGAGCCATGGAGTATATCTGAGGTGTATATCAGGGTGTGCTTCTTCCCCACATGAGAGCTGGGATGTAGCAACATTCATCTAGAAGACATTTCCCGCACTCAAGGCACTAATACACCTCCAGGGTTGTGTGGGACCCCTGATGTACAGGAAGACAGGACTTCAGTGACGGAACATTTCCCTCACTCAGGGAAGGAACATGGTTTTCCCCCGTTGTGAGACCTCTGATGTCTGTAAACATGGACTTGTCCTGAAAAACATTTCCCTCACTTAGGACAGGAAAGTGGCTTCTTCCCCGTGATGAGATCTCTGATGTCTGTAAAAACTGGACTTGTTGAAAAACATTTCCCGCACTCAGGACAGGAATAACGGCTTTTCCCCTGTTGATCTTCATTTTAAACAGATGTATAAGAAAGTCCCTGATTCATTTGTAACAAAAAACATTTTCCCGCACTCAGGACAGGAAAGTGGCTTCTCCCCAGTGTGAGATCTCTGATGTCTGTAAAAGAATAGACTTGTCTGAAAAACATTTTCCGCACTCAGGACAGAATACGGCTTTTCCCCTGTGTGAATCTTTGATGTACAACAAGTTTTGATTGGGACTTGTTACAAAAAACATTTCCCACACTCAGAAACAGGAATATGGACTTCATTTCCCTTGTGGCTCAGACTCTGATGATGACTTACAATCTACTAGACTTAGTCTCTCGGTTTAAAACATTTCACCGCACTCAGGACAAGGAGTGATGGTTTTTCACCTTGTGAGACCTCTGATGTTTGACAAGATCTGATTTTTTTGTACAAAACATTTCCACACTCAGAAACTCACCGAAAAATGTGCTCATCTTCCCCGTGTGAGATCTTGCCTGTCTGCAAAGACTGGACAGCTTGTGAAAAAAACAATTTCCCGCACTCAAGACAACGAAAATGGATGTCTCCCCTTGTACGGATTCTACAAAGATGTTTTTGTGAAGAGACTGGACTTGTACCCTTTTGAAAAACATTTTTCCCAACTCAGAACAGGAATAACGGGTCGTCTCCTTTGTGATGAGCATTCTCCATGGTCTTGAAGGGAAGACTGGACTTGTCTGAATTCGCTACATTTCCCACACTCTAAACAGGAAAATACGGCTTTCTGTGTTCTGAGATCTCTGATGTTTGTAAAAGATGACTTCTGGACTTCTTGAAAAAAATGCACTCAGGGACATGAATACGAGAAAACTTTTTCCAACGTGTTTGAAGGACATTTGATTGAAAACAAACCCCAAAGAACTTAACCAAAACAAAACATTCACCCCCAACTCAACAATACATTTAAACATCCGTGTCGAGAATCTCTGATGTTCAAGAAAAAAACAAAAAAACATTTTCAACTCAAACAGAAATACTGGATTCCTAACCCCGTGTGAGATCTTTCTTGTTGTCTGTAAAGGGGGCAGAGTAATAAATTATATGGAAAAAAAAAACACTTCCCGCACTCAAAACAGGAACGGAACTTCTCCCCCTTTGTCATTGCAGATGGTGAATCTTGATGTGAAAAGACTGGGGGACTTTCCAGTGAAAAACATTTCCCACACATGAACAGGAAAAACGGCTTCTTCACCCAGTGTGCATGCACTGATGTTGTGATGACAATTACTTGTTGATGGACATTTCCAACTCCAGGGAAAAAAAAAAAGCACTTCTCAACTGGTGAAAGATCTTGATGTGTTGAACAAAATAATGACTCGTGTCTGGGACAAAAATTTCCTGCAACAAGTACAGGAAAATGGCTTTTTCCCTTGTGTGAGATCTCATGATGTTTGGAAGATTGGGGACTTCTCTGAAAAACATGCTCCCGCACTCAGATACATGGAATACGGCCCTTCTCCCTGTGTGAGATCTCTGATGTGTGTAAAGATTGGATTTTTTTATGCCTGAAAAACATTTCCCACACTCAGGACAGGAATATGACCGCTTCTCCCACCCTGTGTGAGATCTTCGGGGGATGGTGTAAAGATTGGATTTATGTGAAAAACATTTCCCGCACTCAGGACAGGAATATGGCTTCTCCCCCTGTGTGAGATCTTGATGATGTGTGAAATGTTCTGACTGTATGGTGAAAAACAATTTCCCACACTCAGGACAGAAGAATACGGTTTTTTCCCATGTGTGACATCGCTTTTATGCCATTAAGATGGACTTCTCGTACACAAAAATCAATTCCTGCACTCAGTACAGGAGTATAAGCTCTTCCTGTTGGAAGGCCGGGCCCGGTCCCGCACAGTGTCGGAGGTTCCTCAGGATACGAGGAATCCGATGGTCCTGCTACACATGGGTGGTGCCAGGATGGACATTGGAGGGAGCTCGGGCTTTTCTCCTGGACTTATACTGTGTGATGTCCTCATCTTCTACTTTCCAGTCTGGAGACAAAGTGAGACAATCCTCGGAGGTTTTCCTCATCTCCCGGCCATGGACTAAAATACAAAGACAAAGAGGATTACTAGACAGGAGCTGATTGGTTCCCCAAACCAGGACTCCGCCCACATCAGGCAGTTGGTCTCTGAGGAGCTTACAATTCCACCCCTCAAGGAACTAGGAAATGGCTCCTCTGATCTCCTACCAGGTCATTATCTTTATTCATGGACCTTAGTCAGAGAGTGAGGAATACAACCAGAACTGTCTTTTATAGAGAGGACAGTGATGAGGGGATTATAGGACGAGGGTCCCCACCCCCTCTATCAACTCATCACCAACTTCCCAACACAAGAAGTACATGCACTTCCTTATTTAGTCCATGATTTAGTCATGAAGAACAGGGGGCTGAGCCCCACCAGAGGTCAGAGAGTGAGGATGGGGGAGAACAACCAAGATGAAGACTGGACTGATCCTGAAGACCAACCATCATTGGGGTATTGACTCCTCCCTCATTATCACTTTCTGTTTAAGGGTCCAAAGTTTGAGTATGTTATCACATTATTATCACCACGTAAAAGTCTGTGCTCCAATCACATCATCCTAATATATAAAATGTCCAGCTGGGAGAAATGGGGGCAACAAAAGAGCCCAATGATACTGTAACATATGTGTATATATATCGGAAACAAAAGACATTAGAGTATATAGTGCAGTCAGGAGTAATGTAATTGTACAACATAGAGGTAATATAGTGCAGGGGTCAGGAGTATGTAATGTACAACAGTAGAGTATATAGTGCATGGGGTCAGGAGTAGGTAATGTACAACACAGAGTATATCCTAGTGCAGGGTCACTGGAGTATGTAATCGTACAAGCCATTAGAGTATATGTAGATGCCAGGGGTCAGGAGTAGATGATCATGTACAACATAGAGTATATAGTGGAGACAATAATGATTTGCTCCCCTGCAGATTGTGAACTGGGTTGCTCACTTAGCCAGGGAAGACTGAAAAGGGTCTACTCATTTATAATCATAAGTGCATTTTAGTTAAATATAGAAGACAGAAAAAACCAGAAAACCTACACAATACAAATGTTAATAATTGGAGTTGGCTCAGTTCAGTGTAGTGAAAAATAAGTATTTGATCGCTTTCCCCACCAACCAACAATGATTCTGGCTCCCACAGACTGGCTAGGTGCTCAATCATGTGGTCCACAGATCATTCCAGTCAATATAAGAAGGTGCATTCCTAATTGACGAACTCATTATGTGTATAAAAGACACCTTCACAGAATCTCTTTCTTGGGCACCACCATCGGGCAAGACACCAAAGAGCTGTCAAAGGAATATCGAGGGACATGGATTGTAGACACTGCACAAGGCTCGGAATGGGACTACAAGACCACCAGCAAGAGCTTCGGTGAGGAGACAACTGTTGGATTGATTATTCACAAATGGAAGAAATACAACAGTAATCAAACCAAGCGCCCCTCCTTGGTCTGGAGCTCCATGCGCAGTATGTCACCTCATGAGGGTTAAGATGATTCATAAGAAAAGTGAGGGATCAGCCCCCAGTAACTACATGAGGAGGAAGCTTGTGAATGAATGTCAAGGGCAGTTAGGGACCACAGTCACCAAACCATTGGTAATACAATCCGCTGCTTGGACTGAAATCCTTGCAGTGCCCGTAAGTGTCTCCACTCCTCAGGAAGGAACAGTGTAGTCAGGACCTGTCTGACGTCTGCCAATGAACATCTAAATGAATCAGAGAAGGGAATGGGAGCGTCCTGCTAGGTGGTCGGATGACTACCGAAAATTGATCTCTACGGCATGTAACGTTGACTCATCGTGTTGGAAGGAAGTAGAAGATTGCTGGACTATGTACCCCAAGAACACCATCCCTACAGTCAAGCCCTAAGGAGGTGGACACATTCAGCTTTGGGGCTGTTGTTTCTCTACTAAAGGTTCAGGGCTGACATTGCCACATTTGAAGGGTCCAATAGATCGGGGCCATGTATTGTTAAATCTTGGATGAGAAACTGTTGACCGGGGGTAGGCAAGGACAGAACACCGAGCATGATGGAAAAACACACAAAGCTTTATTAAAACGGATGACAGTCACTTCAATTGGGGTCTGCAGGTATTGTGGCCAGTACCCAGTGTAGGTGAATAGCAGGGAGGGGGCCCCAAAGTAATTGTAATCCAGCCCAAGGGGAGCAAAGTTAGAGTCTCTATAACAGTTTGTAATCCAAGCAGAGGGTTTAGGAAAGATAAGGGAAGGAAAGAGGAAGGGGAAAGGGAAGAGGGTCCAGGAAACAGTCCAGGGGAATAAAATAGGGGTGCATACACATAACGGCTCCGGCAGGGGGTGCCTGGGTTCACAGCAGATGATAGCCAGGGGGGTGACCCTCCTCAGCACAGCAGCAGAGGGTCCTAAACAAGCAGGGTAACCAGTCCTGATTCCCCAGCCACAGCACACAAGCCACTCCTTGGGCCCGCAAGTATGTTTATAAATTTATGGGCAGTAATGAGCAGCAGGTACTCTTCCTGAGTCCCGAGTATTGGCGTACGTTGCAGCGTATTCAGCGGTTGTAATATCCTCCCACTGCACCCAGTATTAATGCAGAGTGTCAGCGGGTAATAATCCTCTCCCACTGGCACCCAGTTATTAATGCAGATGTGCAGCGGGTAATAATCCTCCCAATCCTCGTTATTAATGCAGAGTGTCAGCGGGTAATAATCCTCCAATCCTGTTATTAATGCAGAGTGTCAGCGGGTAATAATCCTCGCCAATCCTGTAATATTAATGCAGAGTGTCAGCGGGTAATAATCCTCCCAATCCTGTTATTAATGCAGAGTGTCAGCGGTAGGTTAATAATCCTCCCAATCCTGTTATTAATGCAGAGTGTCAGCGGGTAAATAATCACCTGTTAATCCCAATCCTGTTATTAATGCAGAGATGTCAGCGGGGTAATAATCCTCCCAATCCTCGTTAAGTAATGCAGAGTGTCAGCGGGTAATAAATCCTCCCACTTCCTTTTGTTATTAATGCAGAGTGTCAGCGGGTGTAATAATCCTCCCAATCCTGTTTATTAATGCAGAGTGTCAGCGGGTAATAATCCTCCCAAATCCTGTTATTAATGCAGAGTGGTCAGCGGGTAATAATCCTCCCAATCCTGTTATTAATGCAAGTGTAGGCAGAGTGTCAGCGGTAATAATCCTCCCAACTCCTGTTATTAATGCAGATAGTGTCAGCGGGTAATAATCCTCCCCAATCCTGGTATTAATGCAGAGTGTCAGCGGGTAATAATCCTCCCCAATCCTGGTATTAATGCAGAGTGT